TATTTCACAGACCAGCAAACAAACATACATACATACACGACTACATACATACATACATACATGGATACATACGTACACAAACATACAAAACAAGACAATTCATATTTGATACTATTTGATTATATCTGCCATCCTTTTTATGAGGTTTGTTCTGTTCCTCTCACATATATGTGTGATTGTATGTTTGTGTATATGTTTCTATGTGTGTATGCATGTATGTACGTACGTATGTTTATATGTATGTTTGTATGTTTGTGTGTATATATGTATGAACCTTTACAAGCATGGTTGAATTTAATCAATGTAATTTTTTTCATTGCTCCATTATTATCTGTTATGCAATTTTTATTCCCACAACAACTAAAATTGCTGCTTTTGAGGCTACTACTACTACTACTACTACTACTACTACTACTACTACTACTATTACTGCTACTGCTACTGCTACTGCTACTACAACTACTACTATAACTACCTCAGTTACTACTATTACTTCTTCCATAACTAATTTTACTTTTACAATATTAGTGTCATAGATAGCTACAATTTACACAAACGTACATACACACGCACACACGCACAAACATACTCACATACACACGCACACAACACAACACACGTATCACGCACATTTATAAGTAGGAATTCGGCGTTCCATTAATTTTATATCTTTTAGAGTTACTGAGAGATAAGATCAAATCGGAGTGATATTATTATTGGAATGCCTTGGCCGCTGTTTTATCTTTGGTCATTGCTGTATTTGTTGTTGTTGCTTCTGTGTCTTTGTTAGTTTGTTTTATCATTGTTATTATTATTGCTATTCGTAGTCTTCATGGCATTGTGATAAAAATCTTTACTTCTGCTTGTTCTTTGGTTATCTCTTGTAATTCGTCATCCTACTTTCAATTTTCATCATCAGCATCATCATCAGCATCATCACAATCATCATCAGCATCACCACAATCATAATCAACACCAGACAACAACGAAGACGACGACGACGACGACGAAACTACCATCCGCCAGACTTCGTCATCCTCATCTAAAAACAACCAACAACAACAACATCATCCCGAAAACAACAACTACAACAACAACGTCAAATCTGGTGTATTGGATGAGAATTTGCTAGGTGTAGTAGTTGGCGGAAGTATTGTATTTGTACTAATCCTAATCGCTGTAATTTTGCTCTGTATAGTAAAACGTAAAAATAGCAGGCAGCAGAAATATTCACAGTGCAAAACAACGACAACAACAACAACAACAACAAATGCATACGTCGACAAGAACTCTATTAACCCTTTATATCAGCAGCAGCAACAACAACAGCAACAGTCTACAAATACTATTCATAATAATATTTTCAGCAGCAACAACAACATCTTCAACAACAACAACAGTAAAAACAACAGTAATAATAATAAATTATTTGAAGTGATAAAGATGAACCCACAACAACAACATGCTTCGGGGAATATATGCTATGTTGATAGCTATCAAAATGGGCCTAGATATTTTGCTAATGCTGCTAATGGTATGTGGTTGTTGTTGTTGTTGACGATGATGATGTTGTTGATGATGTTAATGTTGTTGTCGTTGTTGTTGTTGTTGTTGACAATGATGATGTTGTTGATGATGTTAATGTTGTTGTCGTTGTTGCTGTGATGTTGTTGATGGTGTTGTTGCTATTATTATCATTATTATTATTACTATTATTATTATTTCAACAACACCAACAACAGCATCAATTATTATTGGCCCTTCAATTAATTCATTGTAGGCACAGCGCTGATCTTCAACAACAACAACAACCAACAACTTCCACCCCCCGTTATATACAGCGGCACGGGTACTACAGGGCTATCCGCTCCCGATGGCGCCGACCAACAGCAACACAAGATGGCCGAGCTATTGTACCAGCACGAAATACAAACAAGAGAATTACCCGAACTGCCCAAGTCTGCTCTGATTGGTCACTCTCTAGACCCATTAGGCGAGTCACGATAGTGATGGCAATGGAATTTAAAAATTTGTTTGTGATAATGATGAATATTATTACTGTTATAATTATTATTTTTGTGATAATTATTGTGAAATTAAATAATCTAATAAATAAAATTATCTAAATTATAACCCCCGCCCAGACTACTTCTCAGATACGAACACGTCAACATACGCAGTTCCAGACATGCTCTTCTCGGCCCCGCCATACCCCACCCCGACCCACCCACACCCCCAACAACCAGCCACAAACAACGTCATCTACCCAAGCCCACCAAACTACCAGCAGAGTGGTCCAGGCATAATTTATCCCATTCCAACCAATCCGAAACAATATCCCAAGATGGCGTACGCGGCTAATAGATCCATATACGGTCAGGGCTGTTGCGGAAATAGTGTGATGGTGATTTCCGGATCCTCTGGGGAGATTAGTGAAAATAGGGATGTGTTGTTTTTGGATTTGGGGGATATGACGTTTGTGGAAAAGCTAGGAGACGGTGAATTCGGAGAGGTGAGTTGCTTGGTGATGTTTTTAATATTACCACAAAACAAACAAACAAACACAAAAATCAACCAACCTACATACACACACATCCACACACATCCATACACACACACACACACACACATACATACATACACACACGTACACGCACGCACGCATATTTTTACAGATACGTTTATACGGAACTGATCTAGAGAGAAAGACATACTCAAACAAAAATTTGACCTTAAAGGTCACCAACGTCAGCAAGGTCGTCGTCAAGCTGTTGCTGAGAACTGACAATGATTACATTAAGTTAGCGCTCTAATCATTATTATTATTATTATTATTCACTCATTCACTCATTCATTCATTCACCAACTCCCTGGTCGCCACCTAGCGACACTAATTAAGTGGCTGGAGTATTGAATTAGTGACTTTTTTCTGTATGTGTGTGCTGGTAATTAAACTTTCTAAGCGACTAATGCGTCGTGTGTGCGTGCGTGTGTGTATGTGTGCGTGTGCGTGCGTGCGTGCGTGTGTTGGTATGTAGGTGAGGTGAATGTGTTTGCGAGTTTATGGTGCGACAGCGCCATCTTCATCATTTTCATAACTCGCCACCATCGCCACCAGAATGATATTCGAGCGAGAGATGCGCTCCCTGCAACAGCTGAACGATGAGAATGTAGCCGGATTACTTGGGATTTGCCACCACCATCCTCTGTCCGGCGGATCCGGACTGCTGGGTTTAGTTCTCGAGTACACCAGATTTGGAGATTTGAAAGAGTTTTTCGGGAAACACGCCCAGCACCAAAATGATGTCGCTGTCATTGGAGGTTGTGGGGGGTCTGCGATGGATGGAGGGAGGAGTAGTCTGGATAACAGCATTGATGGGGCATATGTTGATGGGGGACAAGTTTTTAGGTTAGTTGATTGATTGATTGATTAATTTTTTCATTCTATTCACTTGTAAATTAGTGATAAGTTAAACGATTCTAACAGCTGATAAATAAAATATACACAGCAAAGCTTAAAACGCAACTGAAAAAAAATGTTACCCCAAATTCCCAGTTACGGCAGCCTGGTTCACATGGCAACTCAAATCGCATCCGGAATGAAATTTCTCGAACTTTCCGGGATAATCCACCGGGATTTAGCCACGAGGAACTGTCTCGTCGATGAATACTTCGCAATAAAGATTTCAGACGTGGCCATGAGCCGGCCTTGTCACGCGGGTGATTATTTCTGGGTGGAAGACAGGCTGGCACTCCCAATCAGGTGGATGGCCTGGGAATCTTTGTTCCTGGTTAGTTGTGTGATTGGTTGGTTGGCTGGTTGGTTGGTTGGTTGGTTGGTTGGTTGGTTGGTTGGTTGGTTGGTTGGTTGGTTGGTTGGTTGGTTGGTTGGTTGGTTGGTTGGTTGGTTGGTTGGTTGGTTGGTTGGTTGGTTGGTTGGTTGGTTGGTTGGTCGTTTGGTCGGTCGTCGGTCGGTCGGTTGGTTGGTTGATTGATTTATTGATTTATTGATTGATTTATTGATTAATTGATTTTTATTTATTTTCTCGCTACCACATTGTTCTTTCTTAGCAACATTTTGCCAACAAATAAACCAGCAAAATAAACATCTAATTAATTTAATTAAGCCTTTGATAATTTAACAATCATTAATTAACTTAATTAATTAAAAATCCACTAGGGAAAATTCTCGCACAAGAGTGACGTGTGGTCGTTCGGAGTGACATTGTGGGAGGTGCTAACATTGGCTAGGAGCCAACCGCACTCTCATTTAAACAACAATCAAGTATTGTCATAATATACAATTATATACAATACAATCGCATACAATACAATCACATACAATACAATCACATACAATACCGTAACATAAAATACCATACAATTTATATACATTAAGAAAAAAGCTTCCATACAATATATCATTCAATACTACACAATGCCATAGAATAGAATAGCATATCATACAATAAATTGTATTACAAAGTGTGTTTGTGTATTATTTGCCAGGTCTTGGAGAACTCTGGGCACTACTATGCAGAATCCGATAGCAGTTTGGTTAGTAGTAAACTCATAAAAAAATTGGAATTTTTTGTAGTTTCTTCATTCTTGTTTGCTGTTATAACCACGGGAGTGGATGGTTGTATTGCGCTATATAATTAGATATTGTTATCTTGTTATATATGTTATCTTTGCTATTTGTCAATCGATTGTAGGCCATAAAATTTTTTGATACCATAGAAACTCTATAAGAGAGAGGAGTAGCGAAGTCAAATAGCGAGGTTTGAAGGAAAGTCGTAAATGTGATTTATGTACTTGCTTGGATGAGTTTAGTGTTTCTATTGCTGCTGGCATTCGAATTAACGTTCAACAAAGTTTGCATTTGAAGCAGTTGTGTTCTTGAACCTACGGAATAACGGACACTTGACGATTGTTGGATGCTACAACACCGATGCTAGAAAATATTGGAGATCTTTTGAAGTAAAAACATCGGTGATAGT